AGCTATTTTACTAAGCTTTTTAGTTTTTAATATTTTTTTTATTTTTAAAAAGCTTAGTATTCTTAACCTTTAACTTTTAAAGCTTTTTACTATATTTATTATTTTTTTAAGTGCTTTGCTAATCTTTTTTTTTAGTTTTTTATTTATTGTATAGGACTTTAAATAGTGTAAATATATAAAGTTATAATAAAATTTTATAATATATTTATATTTATAAAAATAAATTAATTTATTATTAATTAATGCCCAGGAAGGTTTATTAATAAAAAAACTTTTAATATTTAAATTACTAGTAAAGGGCTAATTTAACTTTTTAGTAAGTATAATAAAGGCTATTTTTTATAAAGGTTTTAGTAAAGCTATTAGTAGTAAAAAAATATTATTAAAATTTAAAAATAAAAATAAAATAATTAGTTTTACTAAATTTTTTATAATTTAATTAATTTACATGGCGCTTTTTATAGGCTATTAAGTATTTATTAATAGCCTTTAAAAATATTATATTAGCTATTTTATTATTAGCCTTAGGTTACTTAAGGCGTAAGATTTTTTAATAAATATACTTATAATTTTAAAGTTACTAGGTAACTTTTTTTATTAAATTAATATAATAAAGGTAGTAATATAACTATTAAAGGCCTTAAATTTAATTTTAAAATTAATAAAAGTAAGTTACTACTTTAATTTAATAAAAATTTTTATAATAAGCTTATTTTTAATAAGTTACTAAATAAAAAGTGTAATTAACTTTTATATAATATTATTAATATTTTAAATTTTTAAAAAAATATGCTTAGCGTGGTTTTATTTTTAATTAAATATTTTTAATACCTTTTTATTAATATTATTTTTAGGAAGTTAAAAAAGCTTAAAAAAAGTCTAGTAAGTTACTTTTAAATTAAAATATTTTTAAATTTTTATAATAATTATAATACATAAAATATAGCTATATTATACTAGCTAATTTTTTTAAACTTTAAAAAAATTATTATATTTAAGGCACTAGTAATAAAGCTTATAATAACTTTTAAATTAATAAATTAAGTATAAAAGTTAAGGTTTAATTAATATTTAACTTTTTTAATATAAATATAAAAAATAATTAACTATAAAAGGCCTTTATATAATAAAGGGCTAGTACTTAGGGGATATAAATAACTTTAAAAAGTTTAAAAAAATAAAAATTTAATAAATTAAATTATTAAGTAATTCTCCAGGCTTATAATTATAAAGCCCTTTAAATATTATATAAAAAAAAGCTATTAATTAAATAAATATTAAAAAATTAAATAAAAAATATAATAATATTTAAAACCTAGAGCTAACTAAGATTTATATAAATAATTTAAGCTTTTAAAAATAATAAAAATTTTAAATACTTTTACTAATATTTTATAATATTTAAAAAATTATAAATATTTTAATTATACGGGTAAGTAATTTAGTGGTAGGCATTATAATATTTTAATTAAGACTGCCTAAGGCGCCTGAGCGCTGTCAAAGCGCTGCAGCGTAGGGGTGCGGTCCAACATATGTCTGACCGTCTGTGACCACCTAAATAACCAGTGTAACGATCACAGCAAAATAAGATTAATAAATTAACACTTGGCATACCTTAAAGGGTCTAGCTCCTGTAGTAAAAAAAAGCGCTAGTTTTAATTTAAAAGCCTATTAGCTAGGCAGGGCGCCTAATTATTAGTTAGTACTACCGTGCTTACTTATCTGCCGCCTAAACCTACTTAGCGCCTAAACTATATTTATATTAATATTTACTTATAAAATTTAAACAGCTATAACTCCCCTATTTTTATTTTAATAAATAAAGTAATAAAATATTTTAAATTTTTAAAGCTAAAAGAATATTTTTTATATATAAATATTATTAAAAATTTTAGTATAAATTATATAATTTTATTTAAATATTTTAAAGGCATCCAGGGTATAAAAAAAAGTAATATAAAAATTAATTATTACTTAGCACTTAATAATTAAAAATTTTTATAAAGTATATTAATTAACAGGCTAGTAAAGGCTTATTTTACTTTTATAATATAATTAAAAATTTTATAAAAAAAATTACTTAAAAAAAGTTAAAAAATAACTAGGTTTTATACTAGCTTATTAAATACTAAAATAAACTTATAAGCGCCTATATAACTAAAATTAATACTTTAAAAAAAAGGCTAATTTAAAATATAAATACTTTTTATACTTTAACTATTTAAAGCGCAAAATTAATAAATATAAGGTCCTACCTAAAAATACTTATAATATAAATAAAAAAGGATTTTTTATTAAGGTAGTTATAAAAAGCAAGAGAATTTTTTTTAGAAAGTTATAGCTTTATAAAAAAAGCTTTAAGTAATACTTATAAAATAGTAATTAAAAGTAAATAATTATTATTACTTATATATTAATTAATAAAAAATAGCTACTACTAGGTTTTATTTATTAATTAACTATAAATAAACTATAAAACTCCTGGCTTTAAAATATTAATATTAATATTTATAACTATTTTTTTACCTTATTATTTTTAAAATAAATAAATAATAAGCTTAAATACACGTGGCTTTAAAATATATTTAATAAAAAAATAAGAAATTAAGCAAGAAGGTGTTAAAGGCTTTTTATTTTTAATAACCATGGCTTTTATATAATAATAAAGTTCCTAAATTATTATAAGGCTAATAAGATTCTTATAGCTACTTATTTACCTTATTTAATTTATACTTTATAACCTTTTAATATTAAAAATTTTTTTTTTTACTAAGGCCTATATAAGTAAATTAAATATATTTATATATTTTTATTAAGGCCTTAATATTATATTAAAATAAAACTTTTTTAAATTATTTTAGTAAGCTTAAATAAAGGCCTTAATACCTAAAAATATTTAAAATTTATAAAGTTTAACTAGCTTATTCCCCTGGGATCCAGAGCATGTATTAAAGTAATTTAAAAAAAATATAAATAAAATTTTAATATTAACTAATCCCCTAGTAAAAATATTAAAAGTAAAAAATTAAAAAAATATTTAATAACTTATTAAAAATATAAAAGCAGCCCCTATACCTAAAAAATTTAAAAAAATTAAGAATATAGTTTATTATTTTTATATAAAGCTTATACTAGCTAAAACGCAGTTTTAAAGCCTTAAAAACACTTTTATTAATAAAAAAAAAAGTAATAATAAAAAAAGCTTTTTATATTCTAACTCCAGGAGCCAAAAAATAGTAATATAATATTTTATTTTTTTAAAAAAATTTAGCAAGCCCGCAATTTTTAAAAATAAAAAAATAAGGCTATATAACTTACTAAAAATAAAATAAAAAAAATAAGCTACGCCGGCAGGAAGCTAAAAAAAAAAAATAAATTAATAAAAATAAGGCCTTACGGGCCGTAAATATAAAAAAATAATAACTTAAAGTAAAAAGGAAAAAAGCTAAAAAAAACTATTAAAAAAAAAGGCCTGTATAGTTAAAAAGGTGGAAAACTAGCTTTAAAATAGCTTTAAATTAGCTAAATTAAAAAAAAGTAATTTTTTAGTAACTTTAAAAATATTTTTTAAAAAAAAACTTCCCCCCCCTAGCCTTAAAGTTATTTTTAATACCCTAGTTTTAATAAATTATTAAGGCCGCGAGATCTAGCTACTATAATATTTTTAAAAGTTTTAAATTTATATATAAAGTAATTAGCTAGTATAAAATATATTACTAAAATTTTAGGTTTTTATACCTTTTATATATATTAAAAAGCTTTATTTTTTGTTAGTGGTGGAGATTAATTTTTGGGCGGGAGGTGGGTTTGGGCGGCAGATGAGTAAGCACGGTAACCCACTTTTAGTCACGTGTATATTATTTCTAACCATTATAAAAAACATGGACATTTCGCTGTGTCGGTCACAGTCTATTTTGTGACGACATTTTAACATCCCTACTGCAGCGCTTCCTCATTGAACTAAGCAATCTCCACCATTGGCTGACATCAATACCCCCGTGGAGAAAAGTTCGTCTTTTCAGACATGAGGGTGTTCTTCCTTTCCTGCATATAATCCCATCGAATCTAACTCGTAAATCAACCCCGTACAGGGCGCAGCCCCTATAGGGACGTCGATGACGGTGGAATCGTGTATTCAAGCCGTTTATCAGGTGCTGGCTGTTGACTTTGACGCCTTCTTGCCGGTTGTAGCCATACTATTTGGCGCGGTTGATATATTTGCTAAAGCCAGCCACTTCTATCTAGCTAGCATGCTAGACCGCCGATACTATATTCAGTGGTATATCATGACAGCTCTAAAGCGATTGATGAGGTCTTTACTGCATTCTTCTCCTCGCTCCCTTTGTTTTCCGTGCTGAAAATAGTCAACGTCGTGTAATTGTTGTAGGATGTCACCAAGTCCTCAACAGAGCCATGGCGTCGGAAGCTATAAGCGTTAGCTGGAAATGCATTGGCTAGGCTGGAAATAACGAGGAATACACACTCACTGGTGCCATGATTGTCGCAGCAGCAGAAAGAACTGGCATGTTGTCGAATCATGTTTAGTTCCAGGGGTGTGGCAGGCAGAGGGGTCGGTCACCCCCTGCACTTTGAGCCCTGGATATATATCTTCTCAGCACCATAAGGCTCCGGGAAAGTTGATCACGAAAATGATTCGCAACGCAGCCCATGGTAGGATACAAAATATGGGGCAATACTGATTATCGGAAATTCCACTGCAACACGCCCTGCAAGGTCCCTCTGGTCTCGGCTCTCCGCAGACGAAAGCGAATAAACCCCGAGCGGGGTGCCGCGCCAATGCAGGATCCTGAAGAATATCATCACACCAAGACTCGATCAGGAGATCCTCCTAGTCTACGACCCGCTGGTGATTCACTCGAGTGCGGGGATTCCGGGCGCAGGACCTGGCAAGAAACAGATGGTATATAACCCCGATGCTCACCACTTGCACCCGTTTCACAAGTGGGCTTCCACCCCCATTACCCTAGAACAGCAGCACGATGAAGCCGAAAGGTCTCATAGCCCTAGCCCCTCTCCTGGGCGTATCCCACGCCCTCAACGCAACAGCTCTATTAGAGAAATACCTCGGCCCCGACGCCCCCTGGTACACCGACCGAATCCCCGTCTTCGAAACCTCCATCCAATCCCTCGAAGAAGTCTACTACTACCGCTGGTCCCTCTTCCGCGCCCACCAGCGGGACCTCGGCGCCCTCGGGTACATAAGCACCGAATTCATCAACGACGTAGGGTGGCAAACAAGCCCCTGGGCGATCCTCATCAACGCAGCAAACTACCACCTCCGCGAGGGCCGGTGGGCTCGAGACCGCCGCTTCAAGGAAGATTACGCGGATACCCTCTTCGGACCGAACACGTACCCGTATCAGTTCTCGGAGGTCCTGGCTGATGGCGTCTGGCAGGGGTATCTCGTCGACGGCGTCCTGTCTGACGCAACCGCACGGCTCGAGGCAATGGTGTCCGTGTACGAAGGATGGAGCGACGAAACCGCAACCGGCGGCGTCGGCGGCTTCGATGACTCAAAGGGGCTGTACTGGATCCAGCCGCTCGACGACGCAACCGAGTACACGATCTCCAGCATCGACGCGAGCGGCGGATACGACGGGTTCCTGGGGGGCGAGGCGTTCCGGCCCAGCATCAACGCGTACCAGTTCGCGAACGCAAAGGCGATTTCAGCCCTCGCCGCGCTCTCCGGTAATGAACAGCTGTCCGCGACGTACGCGGCCACCGCAGAAACCCTCAAGAACCTCACCCAGACACACCTCTGGAATACCACACTAATCCACTTCATCGACCGCTTCTACGTCACCAACGAGAACGTCACGTACTGGGACCCGATCCGCGGCCGCGAGCTCGTGGGCTACGTCCCCTGGACGCACGACCTGCCGGACGACAGCGCGGCGTACGCGAGCGCCTGGACGCATATTCTAGACGCCAACGAGCTCGCTGGCTCGCACGGCCTCCGCACCAACGAGCCAAGCTACGAGTTCTACATGCGGCAGTACCGCTACGAAGGCTCGAGCCCGGAGTGCCAATGGAACGGGCCGGCGTGGCCGTACCAGATCACGCAGGTGCTGACGGCGCTGGCGAATGTGCTGGACCACTACCCGGTCTCGTCTGCGGCGGGGGTCATAAGCAAGAAAGACTACAATGCGCTCCTGGCGCAGTACGCGGAGCTGCACTATAACCCTTCCTACGGCGGGATATTGAATCTGGAAGAGGACTATAATGCGGACACGGGCGTGCCCATCGTCGGACTCGCGAGGAGTCCGCACTATTTCCACTCCGGGTTCGTCGACCAGGTGATTTCGGGGTTTGTGGGGGTTAGGCCGGCGGCGGAGGATGTGCTGGATGTGAATCCGCTCGCGGACGACGTGGCGTATTTCCGGCTGCAGGATGTGCTGTATCACGGGCATAATGTCTCGATTCAATGGGATGCTGATGGAAGTCGGTACGCCGCGCAGGGACTGCGTGTTGAAGTTGACGGGGAGGTCGTTGCGAGGTCAGACAAGTTGACCCGTTTATCTGTGGATATTACACGAGTAGACCCACCGGCTATCAACCGGCCCCTTGCGAAATCGATCCAGTTAGCGCTGGACTCGGGGTTTCCTGCTGGGAACGTCTCTGTGTCTGGTGCTGAGGCGGCAGATATCCACGATGTCATTGACGGGCGGGTGTGGTTTTACCCGGAGATCAAGAACTGGTGGGATACGCCGGTGGGAAGCGGGGAGAGTGTTTGGTACGAGGTTGATTTTGGGAGTGAGACTGAAGTCTCCAGGGGCGAGATTGCGTTTGCGGTGCATGCGGGGAGTAATGTTGATGTGCCGGGGGAGTATCGCGTTGAGTATTTGGATGGGACGGAGTGGGTTGGGGTTGAGGTTGAGGGTGATGGGTATGCGGAGGCTGTTAGGAATGGGATTACGGATGTTGCGTGGGCTGCTGTGAATACGCAGAAGGTGAGGTTGGTGTTTACGCCTAAGGAGGGGGTTAAGGTGAGGTTGGTTGAGTTTAAGCTGTTCTAGGGCTTGTACCTAGGTATGTAGGACAGAGAGGGGGGGTGTTTAAGAACTGTAAATACATCGTCATCTTCTAGAGCTAGCATACTAGTGGTCGTGCTGTTATAAACGATGCATAGATGATCAGCAAGACTAGACATATTGAGTCTCATACGGCAATGAGCCCAATTTCTCCTTCAAGACCTGCTCCGTCAACTTCCACAGATTCTCCTGCAGCTCGTGGCTCTGGGCATCGCTGGACGGACTAGTCGGCTTGCGGTCGGGGATGATCTATTCTCAATCAGCACACAACCATTTCCACTGGTGTCGCACCAAACAAGCGCCCGAGGTACGGTAGTAGTTGGGACAAACTCACATACTGCCCCTGAATCCCATCCGTAACAACATCCGCACTCGTCGCCGCAAACAGCGCCGCCCGACATCCCTGATCAACCGGCTCCTTCATAAACGGCCTCACAACCGCAACACCCACCTTCCCCAACGCCCCATACGCATCCTCCGCCTGCTTCTGCTGGTCCGTACTGATGGCCCCGGGATGCGTCGCATTCATCCACGGCCCGCTCTTAGCGTCCGTGCTAAACCCAAGCTGCCCCTTTGCTTTGCGCTCCGCCAACGCACGCGCATACAGGACCAGCGCCAGCTTGGTGCGATTGTACAGCTTCGCCGGCCCAATGTCGCTGTTTAGCTCGGACACGGAGGCGAATTTCACCTCGCTGCTGCTGATGGCGCGGTGGAGCTCGGATGACTGCAGGACAAGTCTGGACTCCGGCGTCTTCTGCAGTAGAGGCATAAGGATCCGCGAGAGGTGGAACTGCGCGATATGGTTGACTTGCATGTGGCTGTCGAGGCCGTCTTTGGTTAGACCGAAGACGCCAACGCCGAGGCCTGCGTTGAGGATGAGGGCGTCCAGGCGGTCGAGCTTGGATGCGAGGTCTTTTGCGACGCGGTCTGTTTGATGCAGGTCCTCGAGCTCGATTTGGACGCTGTGCACTTTGGACACGTCGCCGTATTTCTTTAGCCCCTCGGTTGCTTCGGCGATGTGCTCTTCTTTTTTGCCGAGTAGGTACAGGGCGCTTGGGTTGTGTTGCAGGATGTGTGCGCAGATGCCGAAGCCGATTCCTGCGCTGCCGCCTGTGACGACGTAGACCTGGGCTTTTCTTTAGCTTGTATTTTTTATGAATAGGATGCTGGAGTTGGGGATACCTTTCCAGATAGATCTGGGACGTCGGTGTTGGGGTCGAAGGTGTTGCTGCTTCCGAACATGACGTTGGTTAGTCTTATCTGGGTGGATAAATGATGAGCAGGTGTGTATAAGATAGGGATTGCGAGCAAGTGAGGTCTCCAGGGGGTGTATCAATTGCCATTGCGTCGTTCGGTCAGGGTGACGTCAGTCGATGAGCATGTCATGACCGTCACATCGCCGAATCAGCGTGTTCTAGGCATGCAGTAGAGTTACGAGCAAGTGCGGAATTAAGGAAAGAGGTCGGAGCGAAAAGCTTGTGCCAACCGTAGTTCCTGTGGTCTTGGTTGACGATCGATCTCCGGCTAGGGCAGAGCAACCCGCTCAACGAAATGCGCCCCGTCCAGATTCCGCCCACAAACAACGACTCCCAGCTCTCCCTCCACATTTAACAGTTTCGTCTTAGGCGTATCCTCTCGGACAGCCGGAAGCACAAATCTGACATTTCTGCCTCTGTCCCAATATCCCGCAATCAGGCCAATGATCCGCTTGACCAGATGTGTTGGGTAGTGCGAGTGCTCGTACCCGCGGCCGCTGGATTCAAGACGCGGCCAGAGGTCATCCAGAATGTAGTTGAAGAGGTCTGTCGACTTGGGAAGTACAGAGAGCTGCAGTAGGACTTCTGTAAGGCTGAATGTGTAGATGTCGAATGTGACGCTGTCGGATAGGTTCAGGGTGCTGAGGATCTGGAGCACGTTCTGGGTGTGTTTGGAGGGCTTCTTGTCGGATTCAGCTTCGTAGAACATCATATCACAGAGAACGGAATATAGCGCGTTCATTGCGTCGCGGTGCCTTGGGAAAGGGGCTGGACTGTCTGGCGATTGAGTCTCCCTGAGCCGCGATTTCCACACTCCCAATCGCTCGCGCTGGACTTCTAATAAGCCCTGGAGATGGGATCCACGAACAAAGCCCTCTTGGGCTTCATTCCATTTATCCGGTGCATCTTCCGGGCCAATAAATCGATTGAGAAGCCCATGTGCGACACCACCAATATTCCGAGATTCCTCAGATACCCCTGCAATCCCCGCAACACACTTAAATACAACGATCCTCGACCGAATCTCAATTGTCTTGATGAGGATATCGTAAATAAGGTCATCCGAACTCATACCCATGATACAACCCAGATAGAGAGCCTCCAACGAATCCGGGTATAGATTCGGCCCGTGCGCACTGATCCCTTCACCATCGAGTAGCAGTGCAGGTGGTTTGCCCAGACGATGGGATACGCAGAGACGGTACCACATTTGCAGCGCCTGGGCTCCACTTGGTGATCGCGTGAGGCTTTCTCTGTGTCTCGAGACGAATCGGACGGTCTCCCAGACCGCAAGGCGGAACTGGAGGTGATTTGTCGAGGCGTGGTGATAATACGCCAGGATCGTGAGCGCAATGAGAATTCCGGGAGCCTCAGAGGGGATACCGAGAGATGCCGTGCCGCCATATTGCGCGAGAACTTCGTCGTGGTATATTTGAGCCTGGACGCTATGCGCATGATTGGCAAGTGGACTCCAGACCGATCTTCGCGGGTCGCTTGGTAAGGAGCGAGTCTGGACCTGGGCGTTGAGCATTGAGAGGCTGGATGCTGAGATGCAGAGGGCAGCGGAGCGTAGATAGGGCACCTTGAGGGTCTCCTGGGTAAACTGGGATCCCGACCCATTGGTTGGGAGGAGATGGCTGACGTGCGAGATGAAATGATTCAAGTAGCGGGCATCTCTGTTGATTCCGGTGTGTGCTTGGGAATATATGGATGGACTCCAGGATGCCAAGGCCCTCGTACGATCTAGATTGCCCTGAAAGGACTGGGTGTCGATATTGCGGAACGAATAGACGATGCCATAGCTGCACTCCAGTCTCAGGCGTACGCAGGCTCGGCAATCAGGCTTGGCCTCGTCACACTGAAGGGTTAGCAGGCGGACGGTGTCCAGAGGGTTGGCTCACCTTTTTGCCTCTCCTCCGGCACGGTCGACATCCGGAGTGGCCTCGTTTGATGTTCCGGGGGCCTGGCTGCATGATGGTGAAAGATGTTGGGAGTTGAGGAAGATGAGAAGATCAGACAACAAGCGAGATCGGAGCCCCTCCACGCTAACCCGATTCGGTCAAATTATACGCCGGGGAGGTAGGGACCTTGCGGACTGTTCTACATCAACCTCAAGATGGCCAGACTTACGCCCCTTCCAAAACAATGCTCTCGCCAGTTATATAAACCTCGTTGATACCCATGGCAGCTTCTCTCATCTTGTAACATCCCCTCTAGCAACCGTTCTCTCTCCCGTTAGAAGAAACACGAAGTCACCTGACCCAACATGGTATCGGCTGTATGGAAAAAGCTCTTGAGTGATGCCTCCATCCAGAGGTCATCTCAGACACTGTCCGTCATCGGCAAGAGTGCCTTCATTTATGGCGGAGAGCTGAGGCCCCGAGAGCCTGTCGACTCGGCTGTATACCGCATACCGATGGGCAGTGGTACGGGTTCGCATCCCCAATCAGAGGCAGACAGACTAACCGTGGAACAGACGCCTCAGAAAATGCCATAATCAGCATCGCTGATGTTCAAAGCTCCCCATCCCCTCGGGTCGGCGCTGCATCCGCAACCCTCGACGGAAAAGTCTACATCTTCTCCGGCCGCGGCGGAACAGCCATGGCCCCGATCGAAGAAAAGGGCAGCCTCTGGGTATTTGACCCATCAACATGTAATGGTAAATGGTCGCATGTCAAGCCGGCTGACTCCAAAGCCCCATATCCCGCTGGACGGAGCTACCACGCCCTCACGAGCGACGGGATAGCCACAATCTTCCTGCATGCCGGATGCCCCGAGAAAGGCCGACTCCGCGATCTCTGGGCCTTCAATATAGTCGAACGTACATGGACCGAACTACCTCAAGCCCCCGGCCCAGAGCGCGGCGGCACATCAATCGCGTACTTCGACGGCAAGATCTACCGCATGAACGGGTTCGACGGCAAAACGGAGCAGGGCGGTACACTGGACGTGTTTGATCTTGCGACGAACAAGTGGAGTACAATTAAATATCCGGCAGATGGAGTGAATGGCCCCAGTCCACGAAGCGTGAGCACCCTTCTGGCGGTGTTGATCAACGGCAAGCCATCGCTCATCACCTTGTTCGGTGAGCATGACCCCAGCGCTTTGGGGCATCAGGGAGCAGGCAAGATGCTCTCGGACGTCTGGGCTTTCGACATCGCGGCGCAGAAGTGGACCGAGGTTGCTGTGGAGGGTGAGGCCACGCCAGCCCGTGGATGGTTCGATGCCGATGTGCTGGGCGAGTCTGGGATTGTTGTTCACGGGGGACTTGCGGAGTCGAATGAGCGGTTGGGCGATGTATGGTTGTTGCAGTTTTAACTGCTGAAGCAACGCGTACAGATACCCATGTGTTTATAGGTATATGAGTATCAGGTCCCTTCTTAGCTGTGCCATTCCAATCAGACACTGTAGTCAGCCATCGAATTGCTTCTAGATGAACCTCGGGACGATGTGTTGCCGCTTCCTCTAACATGATAATATGTGAATTTCATGCGCTGCATATTTGGGCAAGTGAGACAGACCTCGCTTTGAAATAAGCAGCAGTCAGGCCCTAACTACAAAGAGCACACCCTGTATCATATCTATCCCCTATCCATTTCTCAAGTGTGGCGTTTGCCCGTGAGAACTTCCTAGTCTTGTTGTTCTACCAAAGTCCTCTCCAACCATTCTTTCGTCCATACGGCCCATATGGTTGAGAAATACCATCTAGTTCAATTCGCATCCCTTGCCACAAGTCTACCGGATGGCCGGGTCTCTGGGGCACTATACGGAGTAGTTGTCTGACCGGAAAATTACCAGCACTGGCACTGGCCACTGTTTGCCGCGGATATCAACGTACCGGTTCATTGAAGAGTTGATCCCAGTTTTTCAGGTTGTCAGCTTGCAGCAAGGCTAAGCAAAGTCTTCGTTCAAGCTAGCCTACCTAGGTATTCGAGAGGCCGTATTACGTTGGAGTGGTGGCCTTGAAACAGAAGCATGAGCATGATCCAAGAATAAGAGTTACCCATGCACCTGCAGAAGCATACACACGCTCAGCGTGGCCAAGATGGGGCCAAAACAGCCTCATTCGCTGCCCCTCCTGAGAATTCTATGCTTTTTTCTTCAGCTTGACGTGGCTGACGGCTGGCGCCGCTTGGCTTGTCCCCCCGCGCGCTGATACCTCCCTTATGCTGACCTCAGACGCCGATCGCTATGCAAGGCCCCCCGAGGCTGTGCCTGGAGGAAACACCCCGCATTTGGCATATAACCTATTGGACCAGCCAAAGGCACAATGGTGCTCTTTTCTATCTAGAGACCTTGGGATGGGGTTGCCGAGCACTAGGCGTCCAGGGTCCAGGGTTCTTCCTTGGTCAATCTGACCTTGTGCGCCTCTGTAAGCTGTCTATTGGAAGATTGTTTGTGTTGACTGGCTTTTCTCACTCAGCTGAGATCATATCGTCCTGGTCATGGTCTTCTTCTTGGATGGACCTTGGAGACGTGGATGAAACAGAGGTATAAATAGCATCTTCCTCCCATCAACTCCTCATCCATCCTCATCATCGCACCATACATTCCAGCCATTCTCTATTCTCGCTTCTCAACCCGTCATCTAGTCTTGTCTTGCATCATCGGCACAATGCGCCTCATTGCCGCCCTCACCACCCTCCTAGCCCTCGCCTACGCCGCTCCATCAATGGAGCTGGAGAAGGCCTCTCTTGACAAGAGACAGCAGGGCGAGAACTGCATTGTACGTCTCTCTCACATATCTCTCGCTCCCGCTCCCTTCATTATACGTGGATGCTGACTCCATGCAGGAAGTCTTTTTCCCCGACAGCTGCTCGTCCCGGTGAGTTCCTCTATCAACCTCCAGCTCAAACGAGCAACGGAGTCGCGTGCGGAGCTAACATTAATGAATGCAGTGGGTTGGTGGAATGTGATGGAGCCGGCTCGATCCGGATTTGCTGCGTATGTTGAAACCCTGGAGGTTGTGGTATCTGTAACTAATGAGATTGCCGTAGACTCGTTGCTACTAGGGCATTTTGAATGCCTGGTGGGCTTTGGAAGCAAAGGGAGCTGATTCATGTTAATCACACTCGTTTACAAAGGGGGGAGCACGATTCAATGGAAACACAACTAGGTCTGTAATATGGAATGATTGTATGTGGGCATGATTGCCACCATGATGAATCACAAATGCCCAATCTGCTCGGGTGTACCGAATCTCCAAATATGTGTTGATATATACACGCACTCATTATTCAAGATTCAAATCCATGTTATACAAGCCCCAAGTAACAAGAATACCCTCTACCAGGATTTTCAACACTCCAAGCCCGAAGGCAGTTTATCCCTCCAAGGCTCCATCTCCATCCTTTCAGTTACCATAGGTAGCTTGAGCTCGAGGTAGAAGCTCCAATTGGCTCACTGGCTTGCTCTTCGCCGTTTTTCTCTCCCTCCTCTTCCGCCACCAAAACGCAATTCCCAGTAGTATACCCAGCCCACCCAGCCCACATGATCTCCGGCTCTTGGTATAGCAGTCGGTGCCCTGGCTTAGTTTACGGAAGCTGCAAGAGACCTGGGCTTCAGATATAATATGTACAAACATCGGAAGTCGGGAGACAAATGAACATGGGCCCATGGCTTTACGGGATGAATATTCAGGTTCCAAACCAAGTATGGAGCCAGTTTTGAATGGCAAGTTGCACGAATGGCTGGATCAGCTTGATGCTTCATGTACCGACTATAGTATAGCGGTCAGAATTAGGATGGAAGCTAAATTCGCGATGGTTCTTGCATACCTGCCGAGCCTACCATACCTAGGCAATATCCCATCTCAACATAACTGAAACATGAAACATGAATATATCCACAGCCTACCTATAGAGTCAGGTCTAAACGCTCTTGCTATTTACAATCTGCTCTCCCCGTCCCACCATCTACTTCCCTCCTCGCTCCCCTTTTCGCTCCCCTCCCCTCGTCGCCAAACAACGCCTCAACCTCCTCAAGCCCCAACCCCCTCGTCTCAACATAAAACACCAGCACGCCAAGCACCATCCCCAAATCCACCGCCCCAACAACAACATATGTCTTCCAGCCTATATCCTCCAGCGCAAACGGAAACACCAACGCATTCACCAACCCCGCCACCTTTGTCGTGAACGTGTACAGGCCCATCCCACTAGCCCGAATCCGATAGCTTAGAATCTCAGCCGGATACAAGACCGTCAGCTGCGTCAGCCCGAGTCTGTATGCCGCCGTGCAGAGGAATATACTCGCGATGGTGCCGTACACGCCTGATCTGTTGTCGGTTTCGCCATACCGCGCTGTAAGGCCGGCGAGGAGGAACTGGAATGTTGCGAGCAGGCCTAGGCTTAAAGCGCAGAGGGTCTTGCGGGGGAGGGCGTCGACGTACCAGGAGCCGATCACGGCGATGAGCAGGTTCCAGGATGTTAGGACGATGTTTACCTCCAGCTGGGTTGTGGGATCAGTTATCCCGGCTTGACTGAGCATGGAGCCGAAATAGAAGGTGATTATGCTGTCGCCTGATAGCATCACTATAACCGAGAAACTGGTGACTAGGTAGAGACGGCGGCGGTTGGACTTTGTGTTCCAGGATTGTAGGAAGGGGAGTTGCTGCTGCTGGTTTGTGGGTTTGACGGCGGTGGATATCTCGCTGAACTGAGCGAGGACGGATGCGTCGTCTTTCTCCGCCTGGCTGTTCACGATTGCTAGGACCTCAAGCGCCTCAGCAGCTCGACCCCGGCTCACCAGCCACCGCGGGGACTCGGGGACGAAGGCCACAATTGCCGCAGCGAAGAAGGCAGGCACGATTTGGAGGAGGCTGGGGAGGCGCCAGGCCCAGTTGTTCGGCCAGCTGTTTGTCTACATTCTTATTGTCAGCATTTAACCTAGACCAATGAGGTCCCATGGAGTGCTATGCATACCGCGTAACAAACCCCCGTCGCAAGGAGCGTCCCGACCCCCCAACACGAATAATACATGCCCAGCGCGAACGCCCGATAACCTGGCCTCGCAACCTCCGCGACAAACGTCGGCGTCGCGGTCGCAGCGACAGCGAGTCCAACGCCGATAATAACGCGCCCGATGATGAACATTGATATATGCACAGCTGCGGCTTGGATTACCGCGCCGAGCACGCTTATCGCTGCGGACGCCCAGATTGCGATGCGCCGTCCGTATGTGTCGGCGATTAGCCCGGCGACTAGAGAACCCATGCAGCCGCCGATGTAGGAACTGGCTGTGTTGAGGGCAGTGGTTGCGGTCGTGAGCGTGAAGTAGCTGTTGTAGGTGGGCATGACGTTCAGACTGCCCATTAGGCTGCTGTCGAAGCCTGTTAACTGGGGATGGTATTACGAGGTCAGTGCGATGAACAATCCATCTAGTATAGACGAATAAGGTACTCATACCACTGAGTCCGCAAACGAAGTCCCCACGATACAGAGGAAGAGCAGAGTATCCGAGCTAGGAACGAGGCGGGAGACATGCTGTCGAGCCGGAGCCATCGCAGCTGTTTGCTCGGAACCGCCAGAGCGCAGAAATTCTGCCGGCAACTGCGGGGGTCGCATGATAGATATAATCTCCGACTATATCTCTACCCCTCCAGCTACGTAGGGGAAGCGCTTAGCTGCATGGCCGAGGTCCAGCTGGCGAATCGTGCGCGATCTGATAGTGCATGTGGGCCAGATCGTCGGGGATTTTGCGGACCCTTGCTGGATTGGCAAGTTTTTAAGACTGAAACTGAAAAAAGGCATTGTGCGTATCCTCAGTGGTTGGTGATGTCTACTTTGACTGTTTATTTTTTTGGGTTTAATCGGAGACGCAGTACTGTATTTGCCAGCTCGCGGTGTCTGTTGGCGAGAGTTAGGGCTGCGGGCAGATCGGCATCTCATCGTCGGGGCTCCAGCTAATTCCAAGGTTCGATCTCGCTATCTCCACTATGGGCTTATCCTCCAATTCCTTGATTTGGCGCTTGCATAAACTCCGAGATATTCTTCTGCTATGGTACAATTGTGGCATTCCATGCCGGTTCCGGGGGGTCCCAACCAACGGTAATTTAATAGGGATTAAACAGGTTATTATTAGCCTAATATTAGCAAAAGATTAAATATATTTTATAATTAAATTAAAGTAATATTAAAATATAAGGTAATATTAGTTAGTTATAATATTTAATATAGCTAAATAGTATTAATAGAAAATAATATTAAGCTAATAAATAATATTAGCTAGGTATAATATTAACTTAGCTAGGTAATATTACTTAAATAAATTATTAAATTATATAATTAATATTATTTAAATAAAATATTAAATAAAAATAATTAATATTAATTAAGTAAAATATTATAAGTAGTATATAATATTAATTAAAGTAAATATTAAAAGTAACAGGTAGTATTACCTATAATTAATATTAAAATAATTAAGTAATATTAGCTTAATAAAATATTAAATTTTTATTTAATTATTAAAAGTGGCCTTTAAGCATTAGCCAGCTATTAAATTTTAACTTATTTATTAAATTTTTACTTAGTTATTAAAAGTAGCCTTTAAGTATTAGCTAGCTATTAAATTCTAGCTTACCTATTAAATTTTAGCTTATTTATTAAATTTTTACTTAATTATTAAAAATGGCCTTTAAGTATTAGCTAGTTATTAAATTTTAGCTTACCTATTAAATTTTAGCTTACCTATTAAATTTTTACTTAATTATTAAAAGTGGCCTTTAAGTATTAGCTGGCTATTAAATTTTAGCTTATTTATTAAATTTTAATTTAGTTATTAAAAGTGGCCTTTAAGTATTAGCTAGTTATTAAAAAAATATTTTTAGTATTAGCTTTAGGCTGGTATTATTACCCTATATATTAATAATTATTACTTATTTTTTAGGTGTATTAATTGCGCGACGCGGAACGAAGTGGAGCCAAAGCGCTCGATAATTGTAGGTCCCGGCTCCCAGTCACGTGAGCTTTATTAGGGATTATGTAAAACGGCAGAATGGCGCTGATTGGCCAGAAAAAAGGGCAGTCACATGACCTTCCCTCACCGCTTCAACTTCGCGGCGTGATTGGCTAAAAAAAAGGGCAGTTACGTGATCTCTTTTTACACTTCGCGGCGTGATTGGCCAGAAAAAAGGGCAGTTACATAACCTTTTCTTACCACTATTTCTTTCCTTGCTCTAGCTTAAATATATATTTGCCTTGCAAAGCCAGGGGGGTTTAAGGGGGCTACGCCCCCTTAGTTTTAGAATTCTTAAATACTACCTAAAGGCCTTATTCTGCAAAGAATAAAGCTACGCCCTATTTCCTAATTAGGCCAGTATTATTACCGCTATAGTATTGCAATTACATAGCTAGCCGCGCCGCCTAGGCCACAGGGGGGTTTAAGGGGGCACTACCCCCTTAGTTCTAGTATTCTTAAATATTACTTAATGGCCTTATTTTGCAAAAAAATAAAGCTACGCCCTATTTCCTAATTAGGCTAGTGTTATTACTGCTATAGTTTTGCAATTATGTAGCTAGCCGCGCCGCCTAGGCCACAGGGGGGTTTAAGGGGGCACCGCCCCCTTAGTTCTAGCATTCTTAAATACTACTTAATGGCCTTATTCTGCAAAAAAATAAAGCTACGCCCTATTTCCTAATTAGGCCAGGTTACCCTGCCGCGCTCGCGCATGAATCCCGGCATTAAAGCCTGCGCCCTAAAAATGACGGGACCTACGTAATAGCGCAGGCTTTATAAAGCTGCTAATATTATAGTTATAATACTTATATATTATATTTATTTAACTAATTATAAGCCTTTTACATAAAAATAGCGCCTAATTTTTATTTATACTAAAAATAATAATATAAAATATAGTAAACTTACTTAAACTAATTTATAAAAACTTGTAAGTAGCAGCGGCTTGGCTAGCTAATTAATATAAAGGCTTTTTAATTTAAAATTATTTTTTATTTTAAGTATTTAAGTAACTAGGTAATAAATTAACCTAATAAAATAAAAAGTAGTTTAAGGTGGCTGGGGTAGGGATTTATATATAAGCATATTTACTATAAATAAGGTTTATTATACAAAAAAATATAACTTTTAATAGTAAATAATACTTTAATTTAATTTATAATTAAGTTATTAGCTAAAAGCTTTTATATTTATAAATATTATATAAGTTATAATAATAATAAGGTAATAAGGACGCCCCGCCCATGGGCATGAATATAAACTTATTTATTTAACTAATATATTATAAATAGCTTTAAAAGTTATATAAGCTACGTGTATATTTATAGCTTATTAATATTAATAGCTTAGGTTATAAAAGTTACTAAAGTTAATTATTTAAACTCTAGGTAGTGTTTTTAAATAAGCCCTTAATATAAATAGTTAGTATAAACACAGGCAGGGAACTTAAGTTATATTTTAAAATTTTTATTAAAAATATTAATAGTATTACCTGCTTTAAAAAATTATTAGCTTTAATTTTAGTATTTTTTATATACTTATATTATTAGCCCTAGTATATTATTAGTTCCTGGAATATTACTAGGGTTATTAGCTATTAAATTAAAGTTTTAAATAATATTGGGATCTAAGCCTAGTTATAATAAATTAATAAGTATTTTATATGGCCCAGGTATTTAGTATATAATTAGTAATAATTTTAGCCGTAGTATATATAAATTTAGTAGCTTATTAAATAATATTAGTATTAATTTTAATTATAAAAAAAAGTAGTGTTTCTTAGTAGCTAAGGTGCTAATTTAAGGCTATTTAAGCCATGTAATAATATTAAAATATTATTTTTAATTATTAAGGCTTTTATTAACTATTCTTATATGTAGCTTATATATTAGCTAAATATTAGTTAAATATTAGCTAAACATGTAATAATAATTCATTATAAATATATAATAATTATATTTTAAAATTATATTAATAAAAAATTATTAATAAAAAACTAGTATAACTTTATAATTTTTAGTTAAAATTTATAATTTTTAGCTAAATACTAATTCCTGTGGTAAAAGTTTAATTATTTAAAGTAAATTAAAAGGGTGTAAACATACCTAAGTAATAAAAAAAATATAATTTAAAATATATTAAAGTTAAGCCTATAAGAGTTAAAAATTAAATTATAAAAATATAATTCTTAGCTAGATATTCCTTAAAATTAGGTATTTATAAATAACATGTGTTATAAACAAGCTACTATGTTAAAAAGCTAAAAGATAGTAAATATATTAATTAGCTTAATATTTCCTAAAAAAATTTTATATTTATAAAAAATTAAGTAAATATAACTATAGTAAAATTCTAAACTTAATAATAAATAAAGTTTAAAGTAGCGGATTATTCCGTAAATTTATATTTAGTTAGTAAATATTCTTAAATTTAATTTATAAAAAATAAATAAACTATTTTAACAGTATTTTATAATTATAAAATATAATAGTAATATTTATATAATATAAAACTATATAATCCAGCCTTATTAATATATAGCTATTATTTAATAATATAAAAAAGTATAAATAGCTTAATAAAGGGGCTGGTTATAGCAGGGTAAGGTAATATTATAAAATAATTAATTAAAAAGCTAGTAAGTTTATTACTATTAAAATATATAAGTAATAAGTACTATTAATAGTTACTAGTAAATAAAAAAAAGGTTAAGCTTATTATGCTTTTATATACCACTATTTTTATTATAGCTTTTTATAAGCTTAGTATTTAAAAAGCAAGCTTGTTAAGGCTTTTTAAACTTTATTAATTTTATTTTTTTACTACTATATTTATATTACTTATTATTAAAAATAGGTACCTAAATATAGTCCTGTTATACTTTAATATATTTATAGTTTTAATAAAAAGCTAGAAAAATAAATAGGTGTTTAAATAGGCTATATTACTTTTAGCTTTAAAAAAAGGTATATATACTAATTTATAAAGCTAGGATTAAATAGCAAAGTTTTTATACAAGGGTATATTAAAAAAAACCTAGTAAAAAATACTTTTTAAATATTATAATAATTAGTATAATTTATAAAAAAAAGTATTAAAAAAATTAAAAAAAATATTAAACCTTTTAACGTATAATATACCTGCATAAGTTTTTAGCTTTTAATATAATAGCTAAAAAGTAAAAAAAAAAGCTAGAAAAGAACTCTTTTTATATATTAAAAATTAAATATATTAAGCTATTAAAAAATATTAATATTATTATAGTATTTAAAAAATAAAAAAAAATAAGTTAGTATTATAAAATAAAAAAGAAAAATAAACCATGCCTGCCTTAATAAAATTTTTAAAAAATAAATTAAAATATATAAAAATAATAAAAAGACTCGCCTAATATAACTATTTAAAAAAATTATTTTTAAAAACACTACTATTTATATAATAGCTGTTATATAAACTATAATACCTTTAAAAATATTTTAAAAGGTAAAGGGGGTATTTTTACAAACCTTAAAAAATAATATTTTTTAAAAAATTTTAAAAATTTAAAAATTATTAAGTTAAGCCGGGTTAGGTAGTAATTATATATTTATAATTTAATTTATATTTT